TCTGCAGGCCTGAGAAGGAGTACACCTCCATGCCATGCCATCTCTTACACGGGCACTCCTGGCCCAGGCACGCACATGGCTTGCCCTGGTTCAACTTGGAAACGGACTGAAAGTCAGAGAGATCATTGGCCTTGACACTTGCTTGGGAGACGTGGGTGGCATCTGAGGAGTCTTCCTTGGTATTCTCTGATGGGAGCCCTGGAATTGAAGTTCTCAGAGGCTCAATGACTGCCCCTGTGTGATTAGCATCAGGAGCAGAAGCAGCACATTCTCCTGCACTGAACTCTTTAGGGGTCGAAATTCCCAGCCCACTGCTGCCATCAAGGGAATCAGTCTGGCTTTTGTGCTTTAGCTGGTTGCTGGAAGAAGAAGCTATTGTACTGCAATGTATAAACTTTGGAGGATGAAGGACAGGAGACTTAGAACGTCGACGACGCTGGGTTCTCGCTGCTCCTCGTGAAGACTTCCTTGTAGACCTGAGAGGGGGGAAACAAAACAAAACAAAAAAAACCACACAAATATTGGACTAGAGCCTATCAATAGGTTCTTTATGAATAGTCGGAATTTACCTCCTCTCAGGTTTATGAGGCTGAGGCTATAAATCTCTCCCATGGAAATGTGGTGTCTCCATTTTCAAGCTGCTAAATAAGACTCAAACTTCCACATCCCTGTATTTGCAAACTACATGCAAGCTATAGGAGCAAGTGAAATAAAGGGTAGTTTTCACTGAACCACTTGGGCCAAACCTTCAGTGCAGAACCCTAGGCTGGAGAAGCTGTGATCGGCAGGTCTGGAGAAGCTATCGCACAGACAACTGAAGCGGTGAAATCTAGATGCTGCGTCTAGTAGCTTCAGTACACTGTGAGGCTAATGCTGCGAATGGCTTTTAGTCCATTATTATGAAACAAGCAGCAGATTTCAGACGCATTTCAATCCGATTAGATTTCAAACAGATTTAGATTCCCTGAATTATATATTGGGAATTATCAGATATATAACTATTTATAAAACATTGAAATAAAAGAATTGAGCAAAGAAAAGGAAACTATGAAAGCTGCCAACAAATTTGAAAAAAGAACCAAAAGGAATTTAGCAGTGAGCCACAGAGATCAAGGTGGAACACCCTTCTCTGTTCCCTACACCTGCCTTCCTGGCTGAGGGACATGTCTCACCACTGCCCAGGGCACACACTGATCACCATCTATATGCTGAGACGCTGCTGCTGACAACTGCTGGGTGTTGAAGTAGAATCTCGTCGGAGAGTCAGACCAGCTGCCCAAGTGGAGACGGCTGACTCTCTCCAGATGAGAGAAAGCTCATGCTAGGATCTCAACGTCACCCGGACACAGAGCAAAGCTGATGCCAGCATTTCACCCCCACACCTTCTCACCCAGCTCCTATTCAGGCTGGTCATCTTGTTCTAATATCGTCTCAACAACTGAGTATCAAGTGGCCCACCACAGGGAATCGGGGCAGAAGAGAACAGGACAAGAGTTTGTTCTCTTGTCATCCAAGTAGCTACAGCAAATAGCCTCAAAGTTGCCTGTTGGCCTCCGAAGTCTAAAATAGTTATGAGCTGGCCCTTTACAGAAAAAGGTTTTCTGGCCTCTGTCCTAGAAGGCAGCACAGATATAAGCATCTGGAAAAAATATGACCGACAGAGTAAGAAGCCTGGGGTCTCTAAAGGAAAGAACAGAAGTCAAGTGAGTTTTTGAAGAAATAAATGCTGAGAAGTGGGAAAAGAAGAGAACTATAGCTATGGGAATCCCATTATAACAAATACAGACCTTCACTAAAGGAGCTTATGAAGGAAGTACTTCAAGAAGAAAGAAAATAATCCTATATCGAAGTCTGAGATGGAAGGAGGAATGAATGGTGAGCAAAGAAATCATAAACATGCAGACAAACTGACTCAAACACTGCCTATTTAAAACCTACTTTATGAGATTATAATAAAGGGACAGAACTAAAAAAGTGGACAACAGTGTGAATACATCAGGAGCCAGAGGCAAAGACTTCTAAGGGAAGACATTTAAAGCATGAACTTTTGGTTTTGGTAACAATTTAAGGTTTACTAGTCCTGGTATGGCGCTGCAGGATAACGTGCTGGATTATAAAGTCAGTTTGAACTGCAAGGTCGGTGGTTCAAACCCACCAGTTGCTTCTTGGAAACCCTACACAGGGTTGCTATGGGTCAAAACTGACTTGACAGCAATTAACAGTAACACTACAAGAATAGACACAAAATACATAATTTCAAAATCAGTAGAAGAAAAAATGACAGTAGTGGTGAGAAAGACAACCAAGAAATCCTTTTTAACAATAAAAAAAAATATATATATATAAAACAGACTATCGGATTGAATAAAACCAAACCTGAAGTTTTAAAAGATAAAAGGAACGAAAGTGAAGGAACGGGGAAAGCTATGTTGCTGTTGTTAAGTGCCACCAAGTCAATCCCATAAAACCTAACTCTCCAAATAAAGTGACTTCTATCACTGTTTGCTATGAATCAGAACCAACCCAATGGCACTTAATAACAACCACCACTGTTTCAATACTCCTAATATTCATCACATACTCTCCCGGGCACTCAGGAAAGAAAGTCCAAGAGTATTTTGGGGTATCAGGATGAAAATCATCTATGATAAGAACTTCTTACCCATGCCAACTGTCTTTAGATGCACATATAGTTTTCAGCTTGGTATCATCTGTAGTTGTTCTAACTGATGTTCTAACACTTGTGCCTTCTCCAACAGCCAGGGATGCTATGGACCTGAAAGACAAGATCAGCGTTTACTGCTACAGAAAACGAAAATTCACTGCCCTCACCTATCCAAATACAAGTTTATCAATAACTGTATTTGCTTTCTAGTTTGGATTTCTCAAACAATGCTCAGCTTTCAGCAGTATTTTTCCTTCAAAACCAAATTTAGTGACTCGCTAAAAGCCAAAGTATACAACAAGCACAGACTAGAGAGACTTTTAGGCCATCAATCTGGGCCACATCAGGCCTTCCATCTAGGAAGAACCCTAATGACACTGATCACTTATTTTATGCTAAACACTAGAACTATGGGAGCTAAATTTAGGAATAAAAATTAAAGACTCAATCTGACTTACAAATGAATACACTGTCAAATACTGCAACTTTTAGAAAAATAGCCTAATTTGTACAATAAACTTGCAATATTACCCAAGACTCAACCTTTGTGGTTAAAAATTACAGAGTAAAGAATGTAAAACGATTTAAGAGAAATCATTTACAATCTCACAACCCAGCAATGACCAACATTAACATTTGGGTGGAAGGCCTTCCTGTCCTGTTCGATATACGTACACACAATGAGCTCCTACTAACTAGGCTGTGGTATTGGTGAACATTTAAGAATTTTTTACTACTTTTCTACTAATAGAAAAAAATGTTCACTAAAACAATTAAAAATAACAAATAAGTGGAAATAACCTAATGTTTAATAGTAGAAAAATGCCATTATATAAAACATGGTACATTTATAAAATAGAGTATTAAGAACTTATTAAAAATTAAGTATACAAAGAATTTTTAATGACATGACAAAATGCTTATAATATAACGTTAAGAGAAAATAAAGTCCTGGTGCTACCGTACAGGATAAGCACTGGACCACATGATGGGTTTGGGTTTAAACCCACCAGCTGCACTGGGAAACTATACATGGTTTCCTATACTATGAGTCAGAACTGACTCAATGGCACTTAACAGCAACATACAGTATGATCTCAACTATCTGAGAAAAACTCCAAAAGGCATTACATACAGATGATACAGAAATGAACCATTAAAATATAAAGTGTTTACAGCAAATTGTGATTTCTATTTCCTTTCTTATACTTTTTGCTATTGTAAATTTTCCTACAATAAATGTGCATCATTTTATAGTTAGATAAAAGGATTACATTATTTTATAACATATAGACTATCCTGGTAAGACAGTATTAAGAATCAAAGCCTGTTGAACAGAACGATGCTAAATTCTTGGTAAGGTTTGATGAGGTTATGAGTCAATCCTTCAGCTGTCCCATTTGTAAATGAACAACACTATACAACTAAATATGTCTGACGCACAATTCAAGTCTTATTCTGCTTAGTCATAGTAGTGACTCATTGCTACTCTATTTGGTTCTCATAGATGTTCTCCACTGTTCCCTTTCTTTCTCTAATTTTACCCTAGGCAGACAACATGCTAAAAATAAAAAAAACTGGGACCATATATATTGTACAGATTGCTTTTAAATGTTCCAAGTAACTTTTTTCGTTGTTGTTAAGTCCTGTTGAATTGTTTCCAACTCATAGCAACCCTGTACAGGGTTTCCAAGGAGCAGCCGGTGAGTTAGAACTGCCGACCTTGTGGTTCAAATTGGCCTGACGGTTCAGTGCTTATCCTGCAGTGCCTACAGAAATCAGGACTCCAAGACTAAGTCATTTTAAGGGGCAACAAAATCACTTAATATTATGTTCCAACCTCTTAAAACGTTCAGAAAGATGTCTGTGGACCAGCAGTTATTTATGTAAGTTCACACATGAAGACATGTTGTGGGTTAATGCACCAGACTGCAAAGCTGTTTGAACTGCAAGGTCGGTGGTTCAAGCTCACCAGCTGCCCCTCGGAAACCCTACACAGGGTCGCTATGGGTCAGAACCAAGTCAACGGCACTTCACAACAACATATGCTGTTAGGTGACATGAAGTTCGTTCCAACTCAGAGGGACTGACGCCCAACAGAATGATACTTGCCTGATTCTGTACCGTCATCATAGTCATTGATTGCTATGTTGCAGCCAGTGTCACTCTATGCCATTCAAAGGCTTCCTCTTGTTTGTTGACCCTCCATTTCACCAAGTATGATGTCCTTCTCTAGGGACTATCCCTCCTGATACCAAGTCAAAGTAGGTGAGCCTTGCAATCCTTGCTTCTCTAAAGAGCATTCTTTCAAGACAGACTGATTTGTACTTTTGGGAGTTCATGGTATATTCAATATTCCTCACCAACACGATAATGCAAATGTATCCATTCCTCTCTGGTCTTTCTTAGTCAGGGTCCAGCTTTCACATGCTTGAGGCAACTGAAAAACCCTGGCTTGGGTGAGGCACACTGTAGGCCTCAAAGTAACAACTTTGCTTTTTAATACTTTAAAGTCTTTTGCAGTAGATTTGCCCAAAGCAATCTGTTGTTTGAGTTCTTGACAGTGGCTTCCATGGGTGTTGATTGTGGGTCCAAGTAAAATGAAATCTTTGACAACTTCATTCTTTTCTGTGTTTGTCATGACTTTGCTTATAGGTCCACATGTGTAAATTTTTGTTTTCTTTCATACTGAGGTGTAATCTATACAAAGGTTGTATTCTTTGGTCTTCATCAGTGCATGCTTCAAATCCTCTTCACACTCGACAAGCAAGGCTTTGTCATCTGAATATTCCCAGTTGTTAATGAGCCCTCCTCTAATCCTGAAGATGCATTCTTCCTATAGTTCAACTCTTTGGATTATTTGGTCAGCATACAGATTAAAGTACGTACGATGAAAGGATACAACCCTAATGCATATGTTTCCTGATTTGAAACCATGCAGTATCCCCCTGTTCTGTTCATGTGATTGCCTCTTGGACTATGTACATGGTCAGCATGAGCACAATTAAATGTTCTGGATGGAATTCCCATTCTTTCCACTAGACATCAGCAATAGTATCCCTCATTCCAGACCGGCTTCCAAATCTTGCTTGACTTTCTGACAGTTTCCTGTCAGTGTACTCCTGGCAACCATTTTTTAATTATCTTCAGCAAAATTTTACTTGTGTTAATGAATGTTGTTGTTATTGTTGTTAAGTGCCATCAAGTTAGTTCTGACTTATAGTGACTCTGTATAAAGTTTCCAAGGACCAGCTGGTAAGTGTGAACCATTGACCTTGTAGTTTGCAGTTCAGTGAAATGGGCATAAATATGGATTTCTTGCAGCTAGAGGAGCAGGTAGCTGCTTTCTTCCAAATTTCTTAACACAGAGGAGTGAGTGCTTCTAGCATCTGTTTGTTGAAACATCTAATTGATAGACTGTCAATTTGTACAGCCTTGTTTTGTGCCAATGCCTTCAGTGCCATGGATTTCTTCCTTCAGTACCACTCCACTCCTTTTTCACTATATGCCATCTCCTGAAATAGTTGAATGTGTTTTCCTGACATGCTAATTCTTAAAATGGTTGACCATATTTTCCTGATGATTAAAAAAAAAATTGTTTCTATACGTGATATAATAGGACCACAATCTGGAAACAATCTTCTATGCTTTGTTTCCCAGTTTAACGAAATGACTTATAAAAGGCCTGAGTTAATGGCACGATGACCATACTGGATCAACCACAGGGAGAAGAAAGGTACTGATTATCATGGAAGCAAAATGTGACCATCTGTAATTAACTCTAATGCAAAACTATCAGTATAAATCTTCTGATTTGGTAGGTCAAAAATCATATTAGCATAGGCAGACAGCTAAAAACCATCTCACATGTATTACATATTACCACGTGCCAGGTACTACCATGAATCTTCAAGGTACTATATAAAGGAGTGGTTACGAGCGTAGTTTCTAGAGACAGACTGCTTGGGTTCAAATCTTTGCTCTGCTACTTTTTTACCATGTGACCATTAGTAAATGACTTAAAATCTCTGTCTTATCTGTATCTGGAATTGCAAAAATAACTATCTTCCAGGGTGATTGTTGCTTCTTGCTAAATGTCAAGTTGGTTCCAACTCATGATGATCTTTGTAGGATTTCTGAGTCTGTCCACCTTTTCAGAAGTAGAAAGCCACCATTCTTCTCCCACGGAGTAGCTGGTGGGCTCAAACTGCCAGCCTTGTGGTTAGTAGTCCAATGCCTATCCTACAGAATCACTGTGCTCTGTTAGGGTTGTTGCTATTGTGTGCCTTCAAGTCAGTTCTGACTTGTAGAGACCCTGTGTAGAGTTTCTGTGGTTAACAAATCTTTACAGGAGCGGAAAGCCTCATCTTTCACCCAAGGAGTGGCTTGTAAAATTGAACTGCTGTGGTTAGCAACTCAACTTGTAATCCATTATGCTTCTGGTGTGGCACTGGAGGATAAGCACCGAACACAAAACTGGTGGTTCAAACTCACCAGCTGCTCCTCAGACACCCTATACAGGGTCACCGAGTCAGAATTGACTCGACGGTACTTAACATGTTACCAGGGCTCCTTTTAGGTTGTTGTTGTTAAGTGCCAGTGAGTTGGTTCTGACTCATAATGATCTTGCATAGGGTTTCTGAGGAGTGGTTGGTGGGTTTGAACCACTGACTTTGTAGTCTAAACAGACCTTGTAGTCTAGTGCTTTATCCTAATGAAAGACTGCATATGACGCACTAAATGGTAGCTATTATTACAATTGCTTGTGGCATGTTCAACATGGAGCTCCAGTGCTTAGCTTATATATATATATAAAATTCTTATATCCATGAAAAATTTGAGGTATCTTCTGACCTGGGGGGTGAGAAGAGTAAGGCACAGAATATTGTGCAATGAGGGACATATTAACATTCAGACAGCAGCTGGTCTGCAGGCACTCTAATTAGTCTGGTCAAAGGGTCCAAGATTATTGATCTCCGTGACAGAACCCTACTGAATAAAGGTTTCCATAGTGATCAGCTAAGCAATCAGAGCCCATGAAATCTACAAAGTCTTTATAGATTTCTACTGAGCCATTTGCTTTCAGTGAAAAAATACTGTTATTCCCTTGAGGCATATGAGGCAATCTCTGAGGGGACAATGCTAGATAATCTTTGATCAAGAAGCAAGAAGGGGAAATCTTCCTCAAAGTTAAAGCAAAGCAAAACATCAAATCCTGAGTACAACCTTTCAAATTTGAACTGGGAGAAAAAAAAATTTTTTTTAAGTAAAACAATACTGTGGAGAATTGGGTAGAATACCGCACACACTACTAGCATTTATTCATAACAATGAGAACCGTTACAAGAGGAAGAACTCTCCAGAGGAAAAGAACTATGCAAATCTAGTAATTCCCAAATAATATCTAACGTAGTTCATTACCCGGATGCATCCACTCTTAACTTCTTGAAAGCAGTTTGTAGGCTCTCCTCCTCTCCGTCCTTGGCTTCAGATTTCATTGTGAAAGTTTCTACACTACTATGGATGTTTCCGTTAATGCTAAAAAGAAAATAAATATAAGATGAACAAAGTGGAGACAGGTGGGTTCAAAAGCTTACTTTTGGGAAAATCTATATTCCTGGTACCATTATCATTTATCAGGAAAAGAGAAGCTTCCACACTGACAATTAGGAAACAGAAAAAGTATATTTCTTATAGAAGAATTTAAACTAACAACTAATGCCCAATAACAAAGCTTTGGAAACTGGATCACCTAAAATATTTCTGCACTTCAGTATACTTTTTAATAGGAGTAGAGATCTCTCTAGTTGAAGGCATACAGAATCCTACAGACAAAATGATCTTTGTATTAGAAATAAACAGGAAACAAGAGCACTTGAATTCTTAAAAATGCTTCTAAGTAGTTGGTCTAGTCTAACCCTTATAATTTCTGTTAAGTGTAGACTTGTGACACATTGACAGCATTTCTCTAAAGCAATCTAGATTTGTATTCAATAAGACAAGTCTTAGAGAACAAGGTATTAAGATAACAATGCTGTGAGAATGTGGATAACAGGAGATTTAGGAGAAAAGCAAGATTAGAAACATGTTTCAATAAAACCCCCACCCTGATTTTATTCGTACCCTTGACTATAGCACTGAAAAAATATAGAAAACACATGAATTAAACTTGTGACTCAAAAAGATAAAGAACAGAACAAATTTAGTAAAAAATAAGGCACAGCATATTAATAAACTCTTTGGATCTAGTCTTCAAACTATTTTGTCACATGGCAATAAATCTTGAACAAATCAGCATCTGTGAACCTATCACAGAGAATCCGAAAGAAAAGGGAGATAAAAAGCAAAAGATTCACCTTACTTCTGTATTTCTAACCTCTTAGCCCAGCCCCCCTCCCCCCTCGGGCACCATCATAGGAAACAGTGCCTCTCTGTGGACCCTTGTGTCCACTGGGATTCCAGATCAGCTCATCTCTGAGACCAGTTTGATGTTATTGTGAGACCTCTAATATTCCAAAGGTCAGGGTGTCATAATATGTTTTACATAATGTAACAATGTTATACCAGCGGAGAATTAAAAAGCAAAGACCTAAGACCACTCCACTTTATTTCTTTATATAGGTGTTTGGGGTAGATCTCTTTGGGGAACATTGATAACAAGCTTGAAAGAATTCAAATAGCTTTCACTTCAACTTCCTTAACAAAAAAAATTAAAATGCATGCTCCATACATATGAGGGGACTTCAAAACATCATAGGAAAAATGTCTTTTCATTCCACTTTTTCGTGAACTTTTGGAAGCCCCCTGACATTTTGCTCGTTTATTTAACCAGTACAAAAACATGAGGAAAACTTATCTATCCAATTACGTACTTTACCAGTCTCTAATTCTTCTGAATTTAGAGTAGGATCCATCCAACGACATAATAATGTACTGTGTGATACCGTAAGGTAAGCACTGGACTGCAAGGTTGGTGGTTCATACTTACCAAGCTGCTCCTTGGAAACCCTATAGAGGGTTGCTATGAGTTGGAACAGTCATGATGGCACTGAACAACCTGGGCATTAGGAGTCCTGGTGTGGTGCTGTGGGTTAATGCACCCGACTGCAAAGCCATTTGAACTGCAAGGTCGACGGTTCAAGCTCACCAGCTGCTCCTTGGGAATCCTATACAGGGTCATGTTGGGTTGGAATCAACTCAATGGCACTTAACAACAACAATCTGGGCATTATGGAATAAGCATTGGGCTGCTAACCAAAAGGTAAGTGGTTCAAACCCACCAGCTACTTCATGGAAGATGAGGCTAACTGGTCTCTTAAAAATTTAGGCTTGGAAATCCTATATAGGGTCACCATGAGTTGGAGTCAATTCCGTGGCTGTGTGTGTGTGTTGTTAAGTGTTGCCAAGTCGATTCCGACCCATAGCGATCCTGTATAGGGTGCCAACCTTGCAGTTCAAACGGCTATGCAGTCTGGCGCATTAACCCACAGCGCCACACCAGGACTCCTTATGTGTGTGTGTGTATTATATATATGTGTGTGTGTGTGTGTGTATACACACACACACACATACACGCACACACCTGGGGGAGGGAAAGAAAAATCAGGTATTTGAATATTTGGACGCTTCACAGCTATATACAAATTCTTCCTGCTGGCCAAACAAAATTAGTCTGACTCTAGTTTTCCTCATTTTCCTTGATCAGTCAGCCAAATGCTGGGCCTACTGACCTGACAGAGCTAATCAATCATCTGAGTCAGCCTTCCCAACGGCAAACCCCTCACAGCTCCATAACTCTGGAAAGCATTAAAAATTGCATGGTATTTTCACACAAAAACAATATGGTAAACAATAAATGAAAAAAAGGTTGGCGGTTCAAATCCACCAACTGTTCCTTGGAAACCCTATACAGGGTTGCTAGGAGTCAGAACTGACTTGAGGGCACTTAACAACAAATAACATTTTTGTAAGCCACAAGACCCCATCAAATGTTAATTTCTTATGCATGCTATAGGCAATGCTTGGGAGGGGGTTAGCTGAGCACATTATATAACAAAAGTCGGGTACACATCTACATATACACTGAAGTTCATTCCTTCCATAAACATTTACAGAATGCCTGCCATGTGGATGGCACTAGACTGGATGCTAGGGATTTAGGGGTGAACCTGACACATACAAAGGTAGTTGAGAGCCCACTCCTGCCCTCTAGGAGCTTAAACAGTAAGGTACAGTTTATAAAACTGGTGACAAGTTTGGTGCTCAGGTCTGTTTACTTTGAATTGTATGTTGTTAAGTGTGCTGTCCAATTGGCTCAGACTCATAGTGACCTTGTTTAGAGTTCCCACGGAACGAGTGGCTGGTGGGCTTGAAACGCCCGACAATGTGGTTAGCAGTCCAGTGCTTATTCTACAGTGCCACACCAGATTCCTTTCATTATATATTGTTATTAAGTGCCATCAAGTTGTTTCCAACTCATAGCGACTCTGTATAGGGTCCTTGAGGAGCGACTGGTAGGTTTGAATTGCCGACCATGAAGTTAGCAGTCCAGTGCTTATCCTACCAATGCCACATCAGGGTTCCCTAATTATATAGTGCAGATTTAATAAGCATTGCAGGTGACCACCATAAATGTTAATACAAACTTAGTTAACATCCTTGTTGACACATTAAAAAAGCTATCATTTTAAAAGGCAAAAACAGACCAAAATAAAAACCAAGCTCCACACTACAGCTTCAGGAGTGGGGTTCCATATGAACTATTTTCAGATGTCCAGCATTTTGATTACCCACCTTTTTTTCTGTGATGATAATCCTGAGTAAAGGCGAATCTTACCTCAACCGTAGGAGCTAGAGCACAGCGTGTGTGCAATGATGAAAGCGTCCCTATGGTCCTATCTATCTATTCTGGCTTCCCATGAACTCAAACTTAGCTGTACAACAAACTAATCGGGATAATTGGGTCTGTCCTTCTTCATTAGTGATACTGCAATGGTGGAAGACATTCTTACTGTTTTCACTTCACTGAATTCTAGATGCAAATGAGATCACACTTTTAAAAGCTAATTAGAAGTTACTTTGTGTTGTTTTAATCATCCCAGGTTACCTGCCTCAGCTGTCCCCTAACCTTACAAAAATAACAAGTAAATTTCTTTTAAGTTTCTCCATCTACAGGGCAAATTCCTGGTTTCCCCAGACTTTCAGCAAATAGCCGGTGTCACAATCTTACATGGTGCAGCTTTAACCAAGACTTCCTCCGAACCTGAAAACCCATGCCTCCTAGGGACTCTACAGGACCAAGTAAGCGGCCCCATAGGCTGTAATCTTTACTGAAGCACACTGCACATCCAGGTTGGGTACGAGCTGTCGACCTTTCAGTTTCCAACCGAACGTTGAATCACTGCTCTCCTTTAACATGAAACCTAGGTCCAAATTTCCAGCAGAATAAACACTGGACTGCTAATCACAAGGTCGCGGTTCAAACCCACCAGCTGCTCCTCAGAAACCCTGTATAAGGTGGCTACAAATCGGACCGACTCGACGACACACCACCACCACCAAAAACACTTAGGAGCAAGAATCCTCACGTTATCAATATTTTGATCGCAAAGTTAAAGATTTAGAAACTTTCCCAGCCCACCAGGCAGCTTGGGCGGAAAACCCAGCCTACCAAGATTGGGACGAAAAGAATCAGCGCCCAGAAGAAATCACATTCACACCCCTCTACACACCCACTCCACCCGTACACTCCCGGATCGATCCAAGATGATGCCGATTCTTTTCACCCAGGATTTGTTTGGGTCTTTCGCGATTAAGCAAGATCCGGGAGGTCAGAAACTGGGGGGGACTCAGAGGGGAGCGCTCCCTCTGCCTGCCCCAAGGGCTCCACTTTAAAAGTGTTCCCTCTGGATACTCCCAGAGTCAGAAGGAGAGGCTTGAGTAGGACTCAAAGGATGGAGAAGACGAAGCGGAGTTGGAGTCAGCCGAGACTGAGACTCTGAGACAAGCGCGAAAGGGCGGGAAGGGGCAAAGGGCGGCCAAGGAGAGCGAAAAGGGGAAGCTACGGCCGGGCGGGAGATCGCAGGGGAGCGGGAACGGGCGGGGGCAACGAGAGGGCAGGAAAGCGGGAAAAGGCAAGAGAGCGGAGTTCCGGGAGGTCCAGACCGCATCGGCCAAGGGGGCGCTAAGAGGCCCAGGCCCGGCCCAGGCAGTCAACGCCGGGGCGACGCGACGAGGGCAGGAGGGCCCAGAGGCAACCGATCGCGGCCAGGCCAGACCTCCAGAACGAGACGTGGTGCCGCGGCCCCTCCCAGTCCCTCAGGGCACTTACCTCTTCGCAGCTGGGGCGTTCCGGTGACCCGGTGCCATCAGTTCAGATCGTCGGTCCCCCGATCGCCGCGCCAGACTGACCCGGATCCAAATCTGCGGAGGGGAACTGCCCGCGCCTCGGGATTCGTACTGCGCCTGCGTCAGTCGGGCACGCACCCCGCCCCTTGCTTAGGTTCCTCCCTCCCCAGTGACTCGGCAGCTCAGCAAGCGGCGACTGCGCAGGCGCAGGGCGGTGCCGGCGCCTCTCAACGCCCCTCACCCGCCCCTCTCGGAAGCACGTGCGTCTAACGTCATTTCCTGTTATTCTTTTCGTTCCCTCCTCCCACTGCCATGGGTTCGTTCTGGACCAGCCATTGGGGCGTGCCTGCTTCCTCCTCGCTGTCAGGTGAGTGAGTAGGCGTTATTCTTCGCAGTCGCCCAGCTGCCTCCACTTCCCGGCGTCACCTTCCTTGCCCTTGGTGTCAGCAAATCAACGGAATAACGCAGGGTTTAGGGTAGGGTAGGAGAAACTTCAGACTAGCCCCGCCTGGGCGCTCGGCCAGTCTCCTAGATACTGGAATCTGGACTGCCTGCGATCGCTAGGCTCGGACACTAGCCCTCGCCTTGTAAGGGTCTTTCAGGGCCTGCATAGAAGCGAGGAAATACTGGGACATGGCCAAGATTAGAATTGAAATGCTTGTGGCTGAAATATTTTTGCTGATTTGACTTGTCAACTGCCTTTCCCTGTGGGCCTCAATTTCCCAGTCTGTTCTGTGAGGAAGTTGGGCTCTATCTATGAACCCTTGAGAATCTGGTGAAAGCTGTAGACCTTCTCGCCAGAGAAATGCACATACACATCAGATTTTGCGAAAAGGTTGAGGCAGTTCACCTAAGTAGGTGATTTTTAGGAGCTCTGGTAGCGTAGTGGTTACGAATCGGGTTGCGAACCTTAAGGTCAGCGGTTCGAAACTACCAGCTGCTCCGTGGGAGAAAGATGAGGCGTCTGCTCCCATAAAGATTTATAGCCTCGGAAGCCCTGTATAGTGTCACTATGAGTCGGAACCGACTCCACGGCACATAACAACAACAACATTTTTGTATCAGTATGGTGGTGCAGTGGTTAAGCGCTCAGCTGCTAACTAATAGGTGGACTGTAGGAACCTACCAACTGCTGAGGGGAAAAGGACGTGGCCTTCTGCTTCATAAAGATTATTGTTGTGGTGGTTATGTGCCGGGGAGTTGGTTCCAACTCATAGCGACCCTGTGCAGGGTTTCCGAGGCTGTAACTCTTTACAGGAGCAGCTTTGGAAAACCTGTGGGACAGTTCTATGTCCTGTAGGGTCTCTATGAGTTGACATTGACTGGTGACAAAGGGCTTGCGGCTATTTTTATCTTTTTCTTCCTCATTTTTGTAATTCTGAGGTTGCTCAGGCAGCAGACGGGGTGATCCCTGCCTCCCTCCACTCCCAGCTGGAGATCTGGCCATCTAGGAACTTTGTGGGGAAAAATGAATTTTCCTAAATAAAGTTGGCTTAGAGTTAATTCTTATCCAGTCCTAGGATGAGGGTTGCCAGCTGAACCTAAACAGGCCCCTCCACTTCCTTCCCTCAAGAGCTTTGATATAATCATCTAAGTGTGGTAGTTATGAGTCAGGCTGCTAACTTAAAGGTCAGCAGTTCAAAACTACCTGGTGTTCTAAGGGAGAAAGATGAGGCGCTCTGCTACCATAAAGAGTTACAGCCTCAGAAACCCTCCACAGGGTCCATATGGTCGGAACCTACTCCACAGCACATCACCACCACCAGTACCATCATAGACTGTGGAGTCCTGGTGTGGTGCTGTAGGTCACTTTGAACCACGAACTCAGTGGTTCAAATTCACTTATACAGGGTTGCTGTTGAGTCAGAACTGACTTGACAGCGCTTAACAACAGAAGATAGACTATGGGTTCCTTGTTGGTTGTTGTTGTTGTTGTTAAGTGCCGTCGAGTCGGTTCCGACCCATAGCGACCCTGTACAGGGTTTCCGAGGGTGTAAATCCTTATGGGAGTAGAAAGCCTCATCTTTCTCCCGCGGAGCAGCTGGTAGTTTCGAACTGCTGACCTTATGGTTCGCGTGCTGTCAAATCGTTTGCGACCCATAGTGACCCTGTATAGGCTTTCTAAGGAGCAGCTGGTGAGCTTGAACCACTGGCCTTGTGGTTCAAACAAACTTTGCAGTCCAACACATTAACCCACAGCACCACACTGGGAAGGCCTAAATGGTTAAGTACTGGACTGATAGCAGAGAGGTTGGTGGTTTGAACCCATCGAAAGGTCGCTGAGAAGAGAGGCCTGATGATCTAAAAGGTCACAGCCTTGAAAACCTTAGGGTCAGAATGGTCTTGAACCCTGTGGCATTGTATGGCATACGTACTGGACTGCTGCTAACCATAAGATTGGTAGTTCAAAACCACTAGCCCCGCCATGGGAGCAAGATGAGGCTGTCTGCTGCTCCTGTAAAGATTTATAGTCTCTGAAAGCCTACTTAAAGTTTGTTTGTGTTAGAACTGACTCTATGGCAGTGGGCTGGCTTTTTTTGGACAACAAGCAGCCTGCTGAAGATTGTTTAGCTAAATCCGCTCTAACCACAGTCAGGCCATCAAATGCCTGACCCATATCTGGGAATGAAACCTATAGTTTTATTGTGTAAGCCATGAATGAAGCATGTAGTGAAACTAAAGTAAAACGCTTTAAATTCTCCTTGTTTGAGGCAAAGGCTGTGGTGTCATGGAGTGCTTTTATGTGGTCTTATGTTGTTCTTGTTAAGATGCCATCAGGTCGGTACCGGCTCACAGTGACCTTATGCACAGCAGAAGAAAACGCTGCCCGATCCTAGGCCAGCCTCACATTTGTTGCCATGTTGAGCCTAATGATGCCGCCACTTTGACAATCCATCTCACTGATGGTCTTCCTCTTTTTCTCTGACCCTCCACCTTACCAAACATGATATCCTTCTCCAGTAACTGGTCCATCCTGACAATATGCTCAAAGTATGAGAGACAAAGTTTGGCCATCCTAGCCTTCAAGGAGCACTCTGGCTGCACTTCTTCCGACACCGATCTTTTGGTTCTTTTGGTAGCTCATGGCACTTTCAATATTCTCCTCCAACACCATAACTCAAAAGCATCAATTCTATGGTCTTATTCACTGTTCAGCTTTCGCATGCATATGAGGTTATTGAAAATACCATGGCTTAGATCAGGTGCACCTTAATCCTCAAAATGACATCTTTGCTCCTCACCACTTTAAAAAGGTCTTATACAGCAGATTTGCCTAATGCAATACGTCATTTGATTTCTTGACCAATGCTTCCGTGAGTGTTGATAGTTGATCCAAGAAGAATGAAATCCTTGACAACTTCATTCTTTTCTCCGTTGATAAGAATGTTGTTTATTGGTCCAGTGGTGAGGATTTTTGTTTTCTTTACATTGAGATGCAATCCATACCGAAGGCTGTGGTCTTTAATCTTCATCAGTAAATATATTAAGTCCTCTTCACTTTCAGCAAGCAAGATTGTATCATCTGCATATCACAGGTTGTTGATGAGTCTTCCTCCAATCCTGATGTCATGTTTTTCTTCATATAACCCAGCTTCTCAGATTATTTGTTCAGCATACAGGTTGAATTAGTATGGTGAAAGAATACAACCTTGTCACACACCTTTCTTAATTTTAAAGCATTCAGTGTTCCCATGTTCTGTTTGAACAACTGCCTCTTGGTCCATGTAAAGATTCCTCATGAGCACAGTTAAGTGTTCTGGAATACTCATACTTCACAAAGTTGTCCATAGCTTGTCATGATCCACACAATCGAAAGCCTTTGTGTAGTCAGAAGTACAGGTAAACATCTTTCTGATAATTCGCACCAAATGACTAAAGAGGGATATGGTCGTGGTGTGCTGTAGAGTCAGTTCTGACTCATAGTGACCCTCTATAGGGTTTATCTTTACAGGAGCAGAAAGCCTCATCTTTCTCTTGCAAAACAGCTGGTAGTAGAAAGCTTGTAAGTCTGCCTTCTGCCTATAACTGATTGGAATACCTAAAATGGGGCTACAATGTGTCCAATGAAGGAAGCTTCCTGAGGAGCTTCTGCATTGCATAAGACTATAGGTGGAAGCCTGAAGCACATCCAGGCCTTCAGAGACGGGAAATCTTCCACTTAAAAGGACAAGCAGATCAGCCTGGAGCAGCTAGAAAACCAAAAGATACTTCTTGAAAGAAAGACCTGCAGGAAAAATACAAAACAATAAGGGCAGTCGGTCACCACAAGAACAAGCAAGTTACTTGCCCAGGAGACATCAAGGCAGGTGGTCGGGTCCTCTCAGTGTAAATCCTCTACCAAGGCTAAGACGCAATGGAAACACACACTTGGATTGGCGACCACGCACATCATCCATAAGGGGAAGTGACCGAAGAACATCAATGAAGTGACCATCTAACCCCTACATCGTCCAGCAGACTACTGTGAACCCGGGTGGAGACCTGGTCGGCCAGCAGCGAGGCAGGACCTGGGGACTTATAGGCTTAGAGTCAATGGCACAACCACAGAGGACTAGAGTGGAGAGCGAAGCCAGCTGATAAGAAGAGGGCGGACACTTGCAGAGGATAACCACTTGACCTGGCTTCAATGACTGGATGAACAGAACTCAACACGAAGAAGAAAGAAGAGGAAAAAGGTGTCATCTGATACAATTTGATAAACCTGACCTACACTCATAAATGCAGTAGCACAAAAGAGGAAACAAATCCCTGCTGCAAGAATTATTCCCGCCCCCTCCACACAAAGAGTGGACAGGGATGGACAACTTGGACATTAGCTACCCAAAATGGGGGGAGGGATACCAAGGTAAGAAGTGACTGGCGTACAAGCTTTCGAGAGGGAACCTAGATCCAAAGGGCGTGGAGGAAGGTAGGGTCTCCAGTAAATAGTATCCAGTCTGTCCAGGAAGGGCTGATGAAATGAAATGCAGATGGGTCTCTTGTGATGCAATAGTGAATAATTGTTATCAGGACTGATTGTGAGGATTGGAAATGTAAAGGTGGA